TGGGATAAAGGAAAAGGTGAGACAAAGGAAAAAAAACTTTCCAACTAGTTTATGAGCTGCTCTGTCACTAAGTATTTGCACTGTTATATATGTAACCGAGGAATAAATATTAACTAGCTAGTCTGTGAATTTTCTGAAAAAGCTCAACCAACTACCCACAGATGTATGTGAGTAGCAGTGTGATGTTATTCCTGGAAAGTCTATCTGTAATGCCCACACTTCAGAAGTGGTATCACTCATCTCAGGCAACTGAATACTCAAATTCTGCCTTCTGTGACATCCTTACAATAATTTTGATTTCTACTGGGATCGCCATAACCAAAGTATTTTACAGAGCAATCTATTTTTTAAAATTACATCAAGTAAAATAATGTCTTGATACTGCCTGCAAAATAAATAGGGTAACTAAAGTACTGATTTCCATTTAAGTGGATACTCTAGTGTTCGGATATTCTGACCAGGAAGACTTAGGCGAGCTTTATAGGAATTACTTTAAAAACTACATACACCATTCCAATAAACATTTTGAGAACTTATATAGCTTCCATTCACTAGGCATCACACAATGTTTCATTTTTTTGAGCAAGCTTCAGAATATCCCTGTGAATATTTTCTCCATATTATACCTACAATACCCAGGTACAGAAACCTTCACTACTTTGTCCTTGATGACACAGGAGGTGACTAATAGATTCATACACACAGGATCAGAGAACTGTCTTCTAGTTCCATACTCAAAAAGCGTTTCCACTTTTTTCAAAGATGAAAATGTAAGCAATACTTTGTAAAACACGCTTAAATATCAAGCAAATGTTTTCTAAAACCCATCAACACATCTAAATATATGGCTTTGTACTAGGAAGATTTCAGAATCTATTTCTGTTATGGTCATGAGAAAAAGCCTGAAATATGAAAGTCTTTCTTTTTGAAGGTGTCACACCCCATGTAAAGTTTACAACTACAAGCTTCTGTTCTGTACAGAAAACTAAAAAAATGTTGAGCAGCTGTTCAAGATCAGTGGGTTTAAATCAATGTCTTCCTCCACAAAGAATGTCTGAAGTCTTAGGATTAAAATTAGGGAAAACTCAAATTCTACAGAACTGACTGCAGCCTTCCAGTAAATATCCAGCTACCTTCCCTTTTCGCATGGCAGCATCCTTGTTCCTTTATACCATATCAAAGTAATGAATGCCCTTGAATTTCACTCCTGCTTGTTGTGAGCAAAATCTTCCCCTGTTAAAACATCATGTGGACTTTTATCTTACTTATTATAATTCCTATAGGCCATAGTGCTTTATCTGGTAATTACCAAAGTACAGTCTTTACTTTAACCTCTTGTAAGGAAGAAATTTTTATCACCATGTCCATAGCTGCTAGTCAGAAATTACTAATTTCACAGCTTTTAAACCATTCCACATCATTTGAATGCACTATACAAAGGCACATTTCCAAATGATGGGCTTCCTCAGCCAGCTACACCCATCGGAAGAAGTGGTGAGTGATTCAGCCCCCTCAGCCTAAATGTAGTCTCCCTTTTACTCTTTTTTTCTTAATCGTTATTGCATATGTTACCTCTTGGGATTACATAATGCATGCATGTCAGTGCAAACCTATCATGCTCAAAACTTCGAATGAGAGGCATCAACTAAAATTTACTTGGAAAAATGATAATTGAAAAAGCAACATGGTGAAGAAATGTAGTGATGGAATCACAATTATAGTCAGAAAGTCTTACCTTTGTATAATGTTTAGATTAGGCAGCAGTTCAGGTGACTTCAGAATATTTACCTTAACATTCCCCTTCATAGGACAAACAGTTGAGTTTTGCATTCAAAAGTCAGCCTTAAACTACATGTTTTCTCCAAAATAAGAACACTACTATCAAAAGTGATACATCAAATAAGCATTATCAAATTTGTTACCACTTAAAAGTACTGTGACAATATTTAAGTAAGTTTTCACTCAGATAACAAATGTCTGTATAATAAAAGAGATGGTGTATTTTCCCTTTACAGACTTTAATAATTTAAAATACGTCTTTCTACTTTACCTAAACACACCCTAAAGACGCATTAACACAGAACAGGATCAAATCAAGAACCTGACTTACAAAACAGTAAATCTTCTGTCCCGTGCTAAATCCCTGCAGCTCTTTACAGGCGTCCTGTAACTTTCTGTGGGGTCCTAGACTGTGGTGGAGCCCACCTCACGCTAAGAGGAAGCTAGGTGCAGAAATCTGTAAAGCCTCCTGAGGTCCAGCCACCAGAGATGAAAATATAAGCTTCCTATATTTAAGTTGTCTCTATTTCAGAATGTCATTACTGGAATTCTTTAAGACTTTTTTTAACTTAAGAAGTCCTTCTCATCTTGACTTTGCAAGGCTATGTGTACACACAAAATAGTTTCCCTAAAGCTTTTAGTTCTGTCATACCAGAATTTCCACTAAAAAGGTCATCAGAACGGAATGCTTATAGCTTTTACCCACACAAAACAGCATTGTGGTTTCTTGCCTCTACTAAAAACATGTGTTACATCTATAATTCCAATTCTTCAAGTCCTATTAAAGAGAGGAAGCAGCTAAATTGTGCATTATCCAATTTACATTCAAATCCTGTATTAAAAGCCTGGCTTGAGCTGACAACAGTCACAAAATATGGCAGAAGCTGCTGATCAAATTCAGTATCCAGTTACAGTCAGGTAAATCTAGAGTAACAGCTCTGAAGCAAATAGAGTTACCATGGTGTAAAGTCTGAAGTAATTTGGAACAGCACTTGGCCACCTGGCATTCACTAACTTCACTAAACCTAAAGCCCTGGAAGGGTCAAACAATGAATAACTACATAATTTGCGAGAAGAAATGCCTAGAAACCCAGGATACAGAGTTGAAATGAGGATAAATGCTTTGCTTCCATGCTGAACTTCCTGGATTTTGTTAGTCTAAGCCAGGCCATGGATATTGATTTAATGTGCCATTAATATTTTCAGTGTGAAATTCCATTCATTTAAAAATAAGACATAATTCATACAGAATTCACATGGCAGGCCCTGGAATTTTAAAACAGCTTGAATATAACCAGCTGATGTATATACCTTTAAACAAATTTAGCTGGGATTTCTTTTTCTATCTAATAATGTAATTGTTTCAACTATGGACTGTGAATACTTGGAGACTAGTATTTTGTTTCTATCTCTAGTTTATGTATTTCCGAATAAATACTAAGGGCTCAAATCTGAAAAGCGAGAAGACTGTTCACAGCAGTAGTCTCTTCCAAGGCTTAGAAGCTCTTGTCAGATTGCATTTGCACCTGACATGTCACAAAGCATACCTAAAGGTATGTGAAAAATACCTTAAAACACCTGTTAAAATTAATGAGAGCACATGCTTAAATGAACGTTACCTAAAAAAATTAAAACCTTAATCAGGCTCCAAAATACTACTTCTAAGTATGTAAAGTAAAGCCCCCACTAAATACCACTGCCACGCTATCTTAGCCCTGGAGCAAACCATCGAGCAAACCTGCATTCAAAAGCTCCCGGAGTCGAGAGAGTCGCACGAAAACCCCAAAGCAGAGAAAAGTTCACGTCTTTTGCAGAAGACAAGGCAAGTCACACCCGTGCCCCGAGGCAGCGATCACCGCCCGTTCACCTGAAAGGCGGGGGGGTGGGGGGAGAAGCCCGCCTGCCTGCTGCCTTCGGGCAAGGAGCGAAGCGGGGTCTGCTCGCTCTGCAGCTTCTGCGGGTGCCCGTCGGTGCCGAGGGGCAGCCCCGGCAGAAACGCGAGGCGACAGGGCTGGCAGCACCACGCCTCCCGCTGCCGGGGGGCGGCCAGGG